TGCAATTATACTACACACTTAACACGGTTTTTCTATTATGAGAAAAGAAGGAGAAAGTAAGAGTCATGAATATGGCATGTGGTCAAAATCAACAAACTATGCAAGGGTAAAAATCAGAGGTGGGTTCCTACCAGTTCGCACCTATTCGGTAGAACCGGTTCATCAAATCTACCGAACTGGTTAGAAGTCGTTCCTCCAGTGGACCTGGAAAGCAGGACACACCTACAGAAAAGGTTCCAAAACCTTTCCACTGGTAAAAATGGCATATAAATTGTAATATTACATTAAAGGTAGGCCGATCGTCTACTTAGAATCATCTTCATAATAATAATTAATAATAGAGATGTATTATTTATATTGTTTGAAGTTTTTCAAAAGACTTAAAATATTCAAGAAACAATTTTGCCAAAATCTCTGTAACTTTACAACATTGCTTTCTCTATACTTGATTTGATGGGCCTTAAATGCATGATTGCCAGCTTTGCCCTTAAAGAATAACTGTAGCTGTAGGAGTTCTAATCATTCCTGGATGGTTTATTTTCACATTGCTGCTTTTCTGATACTGCCTTCTTTGGGAAATCATATAGCTAAATGGGTAAGTTAAGATTAAATTAGTCAACAAGCAGGAATCAACAAATTGTTCTGACCTTGTTTGAGACATTTTGTCCTTGAAGCTAAAAAGGAAAAAACAAAAGAAACCTTTAAAAGTGTTTTATGATTTTCTTAAAAAAACAACTCTAAACCAATGAGCCTCTCTCCCTCCCCCACTCTCCCTCTCCCTCCTATCTCCATCTCCCTCCCTCCCTCCCTCTCTGTATGTATGTATGTATGCACACACACACACACACACACGCACACACACACGGATGATATTATTTAAAAACAAACATATCAAATAAAATGTCCTTATATTAGGAAATTGTGGAAAAAGATTCCTTTATGGTTACAAGCAAAGAGAAAATGGATTTAAATCTTAGTGAGTTTATTAGCAATAGCTAATGAATCCAGGTACAAGACTATCTCATAAATCTAGATTATATCCTGGATTTTAGCCATTCATTTTCACTTCCAAAATCTCACAAACCAACGAATGGCACCCCATGATTGTTCTCTCCTCATCACATGTCATGGGCTTTTTTGAGCTAATCAGGAGAGCAGCACAAAAATCAGCAACCAAGTTGTATTCCGCCCTTGTCCTAAATATCCTAAAGTTGTTTTTATAGGATCTTTAAAAAAGACTTGTGAAAAGGGGCTGCAAAGTCATAGCCTTACTCCTTTAAAAACACTAAAGTGGGCATGATCATATGGCTCAGAGCCTTATCCCTGCATGGAAAGAGGAAAGATGAAGAATCTAGAAGTAGGGTGAACTGAGAGCTTCTCTCAATGGGTCAGTGCAGGCTGCTGAGGATCAGTGTTTCAGCTGTAGAATTCTTGTTTACAGCTATGTTTTCTGCAGTGCTGATGAACCAGAAATTAATCGTCTCTATGGCTCAATGGTGAAGATAGAATGAGATTATACAAATGCAGAGCCCACCCTGGAGTAGTGCAAATGCTACATTTGGAGGAACCTTGAGTCATATTTTGAGGACTAATTTAAATCCCTCTGATTAATGGGATTAATTAAATTACATTAATTCTCACTCTAGTGCAATACATTTATGTACCATTTCTTTCCAAGCAGATTAAAAACCTTTACATTATTGAATTAAAACATTTAGAGAAAAGAAACAGCCTACATTGTTTATAATGTCTCTCCTCGTACATATATTAATACAAGAGGAGATTATGTTATCTTCCCTCCTATGTTAAATTCTGTTGTGCTCATAATAGCAAATTTCAATTATATCTGCAGAAGATTCTCACTTTCTACAGAGGAATGTAAATCTGCCATATTTAGTATGCTGCGAAGGAAGGAAGGAAGGAAGGAAGGAAGGAAGGAAGGAAGGAAGGAAGGAAGGTTGGTTTCCATTGCTTCAAAATGAATGGCAAAATCTATGCAAGAAAATGTTTTCTTTGCATAACCTTCAGCCTTAAAAATACAGTATCTCCCCTCCCTCATGCTACACATTTTCGGAGAATATAATATTACGCATGGTATAAATGTAATGGATTAAAATCATACAGAATACATAAATAAGATACCAATAAAGATACAGCTCAGGGTTGAAATAAAGGATCTGTGGTGTTCTACGAACTTTCTGGGTTCTCTCTCTCTCTTTCCCTTGCAGACATTTCATTATCAAACAAAGTAATGTAATCAGTGCTAATCATTACTGTATATGAAAACTAATGAATAACAAGATGTAATGTTGAGATATCAAACATCAAGGTTAATAAAAATGCCTTCAGCTTGTATTTCATTCAAAACAAGTACACACATGATTTATTTCTAGAGATGTACCTCTTCCCTAACTATAACAATCTCTGATGATGAGCACAGTGGTTGGTAGATCAATTTATTTGTTAAAAAAAAGTTCCTTGGCATTTTGGACCCAACTTGTTCAGGGTCTTTGAAATGAATACATTCTTCTTCCCCATTATGATAATGAAGTTCTACCAACTGTCCGCTATATCTAAGGAATGAGATTGTGTACACAGTGGCATTCCAGAAAATAAAGACGGTTTATGGTAAGAATGGGACAACTCACTTCAGCCAACCCACCACTGTCTACTTGCCATGGCCAACTCATTGGGGGACAACTTGCTGTGGCTAATTTGCCATGGGAAAAGTTGCAACGAAACAATTCAATTTAATTATTTAAAATAATTTTTTAAATATTATAATTTTTGTCACTCACATTTTATTTTATTTTTGCATCCTTTTACATCCTTTCTTTAATGATTTTATTCCACCATTTCTTCTATATTAGTGTAACTCTTATCTTATGATGAGTTGTCCCATAGCAATTTGGCCATGGCAAGTTGTCAAGGTGACTGCAGCAGGGCATTTCCTGATTCAGAGAGAATAGAACAATAGAATCACGAGTGAACCTCCTGCTTTCCTCTCTAGCAATACCAGTTTGCAGACACCTTTCTGTAGCCATCAAGGACTAGAATACATAGGGCGGTTCCTGGGCTCAAAATACTTGCCATTTCTGACATATTATAAAACTTTATTAACATTTCTCTCTGAGTGACCTAATCATTTTGAAACAACAATTGAATGCAAGTAAATAATTAGCATTTTTTTATTTTTAAATCACAGGTGCAATTAATACATATTTCTTAAAAGAGTCCAAGTATGATTACATTTATGTGCAGGTGTTATATCTAAGGGCTCAGTTAGAACTAACAGTCCAATAAATATGGGCTTATTTTTGTTTTTTCATCAGGATGAATTGTTTTTATTAGATGCTCTCATCAGCATTCCTTCTCTCTATCAACATTGCTCTGTTTTTTGTTAAAATAGCACTATGAACAAGGAAGGTCAAAAATGTTCATGATAGTTTTTAAGGTCATTGTAATTTCAACAAATCTATTTACCTAGAGGGAATCTTAATGAAAGATTAAAGTCTTTTGGATTTAAGAAAAGGAATTAGTTTATTTGCATGGCGTTTCTATTGCCCATCACGTTTTCAAATTGTTCTGGAATTTGTTTTTATAGATATCAGTGAAATAGTTTATACAGTATTGAAAAGAAATAAGGCAGCCCAATTATAATTTCTTTTATTTGGATGTAACACTGACACTTATTTATGACACTTATAGATTGTGCTTAATTACTAGTAATTTAATTACTGCAATTATTCAAAGAATTCATTAAATAATAACTGAATTTATATTTTATTGAATATTATTGAATTTATTATTTCTGTAAGATATAAGAATGTGATATGACTATTTTGCCAAGGAAACATTGTCGCCTCCTGATACATTTCTTTGTATCACAAATTCACAACTATACACATTTTCATTATTTTGCATAGTAATATATACAGCAACCCATCAGTTTCTTTCACAGAAAATTCCTTCAGGTGTATCGTCATATTCTTGACTCCATAACCACAAATGAACTTAGATTTCCATGAAACAAAAGCATTACAATACTAGTGAAATGTGCTTATGTTGGTAGCCTGGTGGGGGCTGAACTGTTTTCATGACAATCTTGGCCATGCTCATTCTCCACATTTGTATACTCTGTTAACCTTTATTTTGCAAAAAATAGGCAATTTTTTTAACCTACAGTTTGTGAGTGCTGTCATGAAATGGCCACCATAGGAAAGTTTGCCTACCCATAAAATGGCTGCCATGGTAGCTATGGTTTATCCCAAAATTCCTATTTATTAAAATTTATTCAATTTTATATCTAGATTAGTTAAATTAAATTTATTGAAAATTCCCTCTTCCCTGTTCCCCTGTATTGCTTTCTACTGCTTCACATTTCATCTGTTTCTTTACCCTCTAAGCAGGTAGAACACCTGCAAAACTCCTTTGAGAGAAAACCACCTGCCATTTCTTATTTTCTATGAAACATTATAGAATCTATACCCCAAAGATATGGATAAAAGTAAAGATGAGGCATTAGACTGGCTCTTTGTTTTTCACTATGCCACTTTTTTGGGAAAAATAGAATCTAAAAAGAAGTTAAACATTTGGGCCTTGGGTTCTGGCAGGTACCAAGGGAAGATTCTTGGGCACATGGATGCCAAGGACAGCACATTACCAGAAAGACATTGGGTAATGATTTGCCATAATGATATTGACCTCACTCATGAGGATTGTGTGATTTTGTAGGGCAGCGTCTCAATGAGTTTTCAATTGGCACACTGGCATGTAATACTGAACCATAAATTATTAATGTCCCTGGAAACAGAGACAGTTATGCCTGTAGCTCACTGAAGCTCTATGAGAAAACATTTTAGCAAGGGTAAACAGAGGTAAATACTTGGCTATATTCTATTCTCCAGAATCCAGATGTGTTTAGGTTGCTGTAAAGTTATTCTGCACATTTATGAATTAGTAATGACATTTTTTGTCAAATTTTGTCTTATTTTATCCAGAAGTTAAAATAGAAACTCCCCACTCTGAAGAGAACCAAAACTAACAAGAAAACTAAGAGGAAAAACAAAATAAATGTGTATTAAAGGAAAAGAAATACACATACATATATTGTCCTTCCCTAGTTGAATAGAGGTAAGCCCACCAACAAAACTAAACTTCAAAGCCCTTAGTTAAACAATCTGTTATTGTAATTAACTCACAGAAAGTCCACAATGCCTCCAGATCCACCATTATTCTCTGAGATCATTCTCTCTGGTCCATCCAGGATCAAATATTCTTGGCTAATTCTTAATAATAAAACTTTTTCCTTAAAATTATAACTAGTATTAGTATATAATAACTTTGAATTAGTAATGATGTTTAAGCAACCTAGACAATTTATTGGCTGCCTTTCTAACAAAACTTTTCCAGTATGATGTATTATTTGAAAAAAAATATACATGTGTGCATTTTAGTGCATTTCACGTCTACTTTGTAGACTTGTAGGGATTTTTTTTCTTTAGAAACAAAAGCAAAACTTAAATAAAATCTTAACTGAAGTTTAGTATCAGAATCAGGAACCAGATGAAAGAGATTAAGGAATTGTATGTAGGCATTCTACAATTTCAGAAACACAGACTGGTAAAGTCTTCATTTGCTAACCATATGTCAGTTATCTCTATGTATCCATTCACACTTTTAAAATTATTAGCCAGTTATAATTCATTCTGATTCTCCATTTCACATTCTCTGCTCAGCTTGGCAAATAGACAAAAGTGGATCTAAATATACTTTGGCAAATTGTTTTTACATGAAGTCAGTTTTAAGATCACCAGCCATAACTGTTTAAAAATGCATAGGTTCTGAGAATATGACAGTCTAATCATTCAAGAAGATTTTATAGACTGGTAACTCTAGAAACTTGAAGATTGACAAAAACACATGTTAGTTATGTTTTATTATTGTGTATGAAACATAGTGAACTTCTGCAGATATCTGTACTTATGAATGTATAAATGTGTATAATATAATCAGTAAATACAAAGCATCTCTATATCAATATTTTAATATTTCCAAAATACACCAGTGAAACTGATGTACTAATTTAAAGATTAAAACTAAAAGATTACATGAGAATTTAGATGATGCTGGGATAAAAACTGCTGACGGCAAGGATAGTCCCATGCACATAAGATCCACTGAACTCTGTGCAATTAACCCTTCTTAGGGGTGTACAGAATTGCAAGCTCAGTCATTTAAATACAGATTTTCTGACAATCATTACTCTATTTTACTCTATTTCTATTAAAATTGAAGATGGTGCTCCTAATCACAATCATTTTTTTCTACAATTCTAATAATATGATAATTGGATGGACAATTGTAATAGTTTTTGGTATGTGGATTTTGTTTCTATGAACAAAAGTTTATGCTCTGAGGACATCAGAAAAAATAGCATGCTGCCTGACCAGCTTGCATCAGGGTGAGCATAAGTCACTGGCTATTTCACAAGAACAAGAATTTATAATATCATGTTCTACCAGTACCCAACCCACTGGAAAGGCAACATCAGACAAAGACACATTCATTGTAGGTGAATTGGATGGATTAACTCAAATAGTGATGTCCAATTCATGCTGTTCTTCATTTTTTTGTGGGGCAAAACTTCATCCTAATTTGGTTATTGAATCCAGTAGGCAGAATACTCCTTGTCCTGCAATCACTGGCATTCACCACCATTTTTCTTTCAAAGTTCACCAGTAGAATTATGAATTGGAAATTACAATTGATGGAACAATCAAACAATAGACTTTTTAAGTGATCATTGGACAGGAAAAGAAGACAATCCTGTCTTTTTCTTTAACCAAGTGAAACCAGACTGAAAGGAGGGGAAAAATGGCAGAATTGTGATGTTTTTCTTTTATTTCTCTTCTCAGTCTTCAACCAGTTGAAAAGAAGAGGAATCTGTCAACCAATGTGACCAAACAGAAGATCAAGACCCCTTTAGTAACAAAGTGGCAAAATAATTGAAATTTGGAAAATAATTTCTTCTTTCCAGTTGCTTTACATTTGGAAGTCCAGCAGCTTAAGGTTGCAGCCCACAAAAACTCAGAGTTACGGACATGATTGGCAGACTAATTATTAAAATGGCTTTAGTGGTGATGGTGAGGTAACATCTCCAGCATGCTTTGGAGGAATACCCAGGTCAGTTATGTAGAACAATTCTGTCCTACAGAAAGAGAGGTCAATAGCTAGAGATGGGGTGGGGATTATTGAAGATACAGCTGAGCTTCATTGCCATTGCTACTCACTGTCTAAGCTACCCATGGAAGGCAGGAGCCTGCCCTTCCAGAGTGATTGATCTATTTGTGTTTCCTTCATCCCTAGCACATTGTCATTGCAAGCTCTTAAGACATAAATGAAAGCTGCTGTAGCTGAACTATTTATTAACAATTGTTTGTTCTGTCCCTCCCTCCCTCTCTCCCCCCCTTACACATACACACCTATTTATCTGTCTTATGAATTAAGCTGAAGAAAGATTACTGTGACAGAGTTTGATTACCTTTTCATTCAGGACTACTTTGTCTTAAAAATATAACCTAGTAATCTGCTTGACTACAGCTAAAATATTAAGTAATTAGCTGTCACAGTCATGAATATTATTTAAATTTTGCAAGTATAATTTATTATTAAGCAAATGCATATCTCATGTCTTTTTCAACAGTTCATGGTTGTTATCAAGCACTACATGTAGACTGGATTTGGCATTTTTATCCACCTTTTAAGTCTTTCCTAAAGATCTGCATTAGGCAGATGTTGTATGATGATGTTAAAGGTTTCATTGCAAGATATTAGGTGTTTCAAGTAAAGCTGCAACTCATTGGCATAGTGAGAATTCCATCCATATATTATTCTCTTCTTGGTTTAACTTTATTTCTTAGTTATAATTTTTGCCACTGATTTTATCATTGTTTTATGATTTTTTAAATTGAAAATGTGTCTTAATTATTTCATTTGCCATATTATCATAAATATTAAAAAGTCTACAAACTTTTTGCATGAGATTGGACCTCATGTTACATTTGACCTAAGTTTATGGATCTTAGAATGCACCCTCAAAACTGGAGCTTTGGTTTTCCGTACTTGTGATATGTTATAAGCAAATATCTATGTTACTTATAAGTACAGTATAAAAAAATGGGCATGTGTAGTACTATGAAATCATCCCACTTCTATAACAGATTATTTATAAATGGTCTTATATAATAATTAAGAACTAATGCAATACCCTTTTCATATATTTATATGCTTCATTTTGTTTTATTTTCAATTTGCTGCAATGTAATTTCTCTTATATCTAATCAATCAGTCAAGCAATTTTAATTACTATAAGATGAAGCTCAGTTTCACCAGTTCCAATATGTGTATTCTATAATTCATAGAAGAAAATACTGAACAATCTACAATGTTACATTCCAGTTTTTATCATTAGTATTTGAAACTACAACTGCCTTCTTTACCTCCATTGGTATTTATGTAATTATTGCATACATACATATACACAGACACACAGACACACACACAGACACACAGACACAAACACACACACTGTGTGTGTGTTCTCAGTATGTATATATCTAAACAAATACAATCCATTGATACACATGAAAAGGTTCCCATGTCATCTAGTCCACTATTTATAGATGTGGGAAAAAGAAATAGAATTTGTAATAATCAAGAAACAACACTTGAGGAAATGCTACAAATTATCTGGAATATTTAAAATGTAATTTTTGCATTGTGTACCATCCGTTTGGATGGTAGTTAAGGCACTGGCCTAGAAACCAGAAGTGAACTCTAGGTCTTCTATAAGCATGAGAATGGTTGGGAGGGTTTGGGCCAGCCATTTTCTCTCAGCCCAACTCACCGCATAGGAGGCAGGAATATTAATGTTTTATGCCTTGAATTGACCTCCTGCCTTCCCCCCAAAAGCAGAGTAAAAATACAATAATAATAGTAATAGTATTATTACAAGTAGTAGGCCCCTTGGGTAATTCTAAAACATCTGAATCACTACTTGAACATCGTCATCGTTACAAAAATCATCATCAGTCAGTTGCAAAAGACAGCTTTACTTGGAACAGCGTACATCCTGCAGTGATACTGGTAACACCATCAAACATCCACATCTGCACATCCCAGATCCTGACTTGATAGATGGTTAAAACATCACTTGCAGATTTTGAGTTTCTAAGATTTCTTAACATTGTAAGCTGCCCAGAATTGCTTCAAAATGAGATGGGGAGAAAATAAATATAATAAATAAAATAAAAATATTTTGCAGCTCATGTATCATGGTTGCAAAATCTAGATGACTAGTACTTGGCAGGAAAGATACAAAAAATGTTAGTTGCCATTCTGTGGTCCTCCAGACTGTTGCAGTTCCTGTATGTTAACCCCCATATTTATCTGGCAATTTTGCAGCTTCTTTGTAATCTCTAATAAAAATCCTCAATAAGGATCCCCTCCCCCCAAAGTTAACAGAACTTCTGCTGTTGAAAATGAAAACCAGTGTGACAGTTTCATTTACAACTTGCATGAACTTTGCTTGAAAGTAAGGCATGAATTGATGGAGTGAAGAATAGAAAGAAGATGTAAACCTTGAGAACTGGGTAAAGAGAAGGAAGGCTAGAGAGAGCGTTTAAATCCACCAACATTTTGAGTAAATACTTCTAGAAGCAACATTGACTGGTCTATTGGATATGATATTTTCCTAAATCTTGATTGCTAGGTCTCTTAACTAGAGCAAGGATTTGCTACGTTGTTAATCCCTGTTTTCTATTTTCAGGCAATGAATGATGGATCCCTCTTCTGCTCAGAAAAAAAACTCAACAGCAAAGCCCTGTGTATACAAACTTAATATATGCTCATAATCATAATATGCATAAAATATAAGAAGTTGCATTTTAAATAGTTAATCTGCTCTTTGCTGTGAAAACTTATGAAGATATATACTGGAGAATATGCCTGAAGCACCCACAGTGTTTTTTTTAAAAAATATTTTGCATTAATTCTTATATTAGATCCTTTTTTGTTTTCTAATAACCTGCTGTTGTCCTTTACAACAAAATACTAGATTGAATAAAGATTGTATGTTTCTTTGGTATCTGCTTCTACTTGGAAGACTGAGAGAGAGAGAGAGAAAAGAAAGAGACAAAAGCTTCAATTGTTTCTTGGCTATCATTGTGTTCTCATTCTTTTAGTAAGTTCACACAATAATATTTGAATAAAACCGGAACAAATTCTACTTGAGAACTGCATGGAACTAATGAGGAACAAAGAGACCATGTTATACTCTTTGCTGTCTGAACAATGGCCTTGTTGCTGTTTGATCTTTTATTTTGTTGATTTCCTTCTTTTTTGAAAGAAGCAAGTTATATTATAGTTCAAGGTTCTGTTCACTGCTTCAACCCTGACAACCTGCAGATTTAAACAGTTAATAAAGGAATCACCATTTGTCTTCCACATACTGGACTCTACTAATATTTATCTTAGAAACAATGAAACCTTTTTTGTGTGTAGATGCATGATTCACTTTGAGGTATGTACACAATGTTGTGTGTCATTGAAAATTCTAATCTCAGGTCAAGTTTGCTACAAGTTTTTGTATTTTCTTTTAACTTTGATTTGGCTCCTGATTACTAATATTGAGCATCCTTTTAAATTAACATTGATACTTGTGGTTTCACTTTTAGAAGTATATGAAAATACAGGATTTCCTGAAACAAATATATGAATATATAAGAGTCTGTGTATGGTAGGCAGAATGATGTTTAAAGTGAGATGCTATTCTGTGTTTGAAGGATTCTAGATCTCAATTCATTTTTTTAAAAAATCTAATAAATTAATAGTAGCTCTGACATCTGTAAAATTCTGGATATCCCTTAAACTATTAATCACATTTCCAATCAAAATGTGTTTTTTTCATTACACTGGTATCTTGCCTTTTGAGACTATGTTCTTCTCTGACCCTTTTTTTTTCAATACCAGCAACTTTATGAAAAATTAGGCTATCATCAGTCAGTGTACTTGTATAGTAGATTGTAGATCAGATTAAGTCCAACACTTAACCACAACATCAGATTGGTGTATGTGTTTGTCTACAGCTATACCTGCACCTACCTTCCTAATCTTACTATGCTGCCTCCTTATGGTGCTGTATTGGAAGATGTTCCTCAAAGGGATAGGTGAAGGATGCCAAAGTATAAAATACAGGACTGTATTTTACTAAGATGTAATTGACAATGAGCCTCAGCAGATGGCATTCAACATGCTGGTCAAAAAGACGCAGAATCTTTCAGAATATTAAAGGAGTTTATGATATGGCTAAATTAAAATGTTGAGAATGACCAGTTTCTGATATTGCCATGAAGGAAAAAAAAAAAAATCTAAAGATGCAAAAAAAGGACAGCGGGAACATGTATTATAAAAAAAATGAACATGGGAAAGCTCAACCTAGTAAAAAATGAAATGAATTTTTTAAGTTGATATTTTATGTTTAAATTTTAATCTGAAATCAACAAAGAATGCCATACTTGGGAAAGAAGAAAATTAGTTGGACTACATGTCCTAGGAAACAGAAATGAAGGAGAAGAACAGATCAATTTCTGAAAAAAGTAATGTTTTTATTTGCTAACAAAGTCTCCAGTAACCAAAACAATGTCTACATATATGGACATCATGAGATAGAATTAACAGAAATCAAATTGATCCTACTATTGATGAAAGGATGTGGAAAAGCCCATCTATAATAGCAAAGACATGGTGAAGAGTTAACTGTAGAACAAACCACAATCTGCTCATATGCAAATACATAGTTCAAACTAAAGCAGAAGATCAAGGTCCATCAGCTTTCAAGCAGAACATTGGGAATTGTTTTGATGACTTGAACTTCATGAATAGGGAATCATTATGGAATGGAATAATAGTTCTCCAGAATGAATGAGAAAAGAGACCGCCAAAGCTAAGAAACAGAAGAAAGCTAGATGTCAAAACCAAGAGTGAAAATTGGAAGGAGAAAATCAAAGTCCCTGCTAAATATAGATGGATTAATTTTACCAGTCTTGGAAAAGTTATTGTATGCTACACATTTAAATAACAAAGTAACCTCCTACCTTAAGACTTACTTTATTTTAACAAATGACTGCTTTCAGAAACTATGTTTAGTTCATCAGGAAACCCACTCTTTGATAGTACATCTGTCATTGGTATTGGATCTGGGTACTTGAGAGACCGCCTGCTGCCAATTACCTCCCAAAGACCCATTAGATCACACAGGGTTGGCCTCCTCCGGGTTCCGTCTACCAGCCAATGCCACCTGGCTACTACCCGGGGGAAGGCCTTCTCTGTGGCAGCTCTGGCCCTCTGGAACGAACTCCCTGCAGGGATTCGGACCCTCACCTCTCTCCAGGCCTTCCGAAAAGCCGTCAAAACCTGGCTTTGCCGGCAGGCCTGGGGTTGATGAGTTCCCCTCCCCTCTCGACTTGTGTGCTTGTGTGATTTTTGCCTATTTTAATTACTTGTATTCTGTTCTATGTTCCCCCTTTCCCCCTTTTGAGTTGTTCGCCGCCCTGAGTCCCTCCCGGAGAAGGGCGGCATACAAATAATAAAATTCAATTCAATTCAATTGGGCCAGAAACTATTTCCATTCAGTGAGGAATGCCCATTGATTGTTCTAAGATACTGTATATCATAGATTAAAATTTCTATTAAATATTTCCAATAGATACCTCCAGCAAAGAAGAATATGGTATAGGAATAAAAGAGGTCAACAGCTTATTTCCTTATTAGCTAGGTGCCTGTAAGGGGCAGCCTCAAACATTATGTACATCTTACTAGGGGTTATAACACCACTGCTATGCTTGGTAGAGAGCTCCGAAGGGTAGTTTAATTGAATGGACATCTCATGAATATGGATAACTAACTATACATTTCCCACTAACAAAATATTGCTGCTTAGGTACTGTGAAAATGCTGTTTCTTGATGTGATATTACAACAGATGTGATAGCTAATGGAAAGATCTTTGAATATTGCACAATTATTTAACAACAATTGCACTTTTTATTGCACTTACAAGCATAGAAAGGCCTGAAGCAGAATTATAATATATCAGGATTTCTGATTTATTTTGTAAATAGGATATGCTCCAGTGGTTTTATATGTTTGAATATATTTCTAAATATACTGAATTCCAAATACAATGACCATGGATATAGTCATGATTAAAGTGTACGATAAAAACAACATTTTGAATTATTTGGGAGGGAAACAAAATCAGTTATCTTATTCATCTTTCTGAGTCTCATTCACTATACCTGGCTTTTCCTCAACAGATCAATACCTAGATACTTAATATTTGGGGAACCAAGTTTTTATTTTTTTAAATGAAACATTAATAGTTCCTGCTGAATAAGTTGTATAATAAGTTGTATAAAATGACAATGCCTGTTTATCCTGAGTTAGGCTTTTACATAATACTTTATAATAATATACAGAAGGTATAGAATTAGTTACTAGAATAAACAACAATACTTTCTAATGGTGAAAGTAGTATGATCAGTTTGGACATATTTTGACAATATGCTACAAGTACATCTACAATCTGGTTTTATCTGAAGCATGTTGGTGTTATTTTATGCATGCTAGAATCAATAACCCAAAGACTATTTTTTATATTTTTATTCTATTCTATTATTTCATCATTTATTTAGCTCTGTCAAGAAAAAAGAAATAAAAAATAGCAAAAAAAGAGTATTAATTTGAGCAAAAACTTTCAAAGCTAACAGATGATTATTAAATATCATTTAAATTATAATTGAAAGCAAATCAATAATAATTAACATGTAATAATAAGTAACATTTAATATAATAAAAATAATCAATCTTAATAAATACAGTTTCCTGTAATTTCTTTTTAAAATGTATCCTTATTATAACAAAATATTATAACAACCCACAACTACAGACTCAACTCCATGTAGCAGTTTAGAAATATAAAGAATTATTAGCAGAAAAACAACTGGCAGAAAAGAAAACTGGATATTTAAGATTTGATAAATTCTATGTGAATCACCTTCCAAAAACGTTGAACTTTATGACATTGCTACCAAGTATGAAAACATGATCCTGCATTTCCAACTATGTTTTGAATACAAATTACTTATAGTTTTTAAAGGGTTGGACTGGTTCACTGATGTCATGGAGATCAATACTGTAGCTATTTGACTTGATAGCAGTGTGATTGCCATCTGTTACAACACTAATAGTCTTTGTTGTGCAGTTGGTTGACCACTCTGAATACAGTTTCCTGGATTAGATGGGCCAGGGGTCCAATCCAGCTGTTGGACAACAACTGGTTTGTTTGAATCTTCATATGTATTGTAAGAGTTACAATATTTTCATGCATAAGTATATGTTCCTGCCCATTTTCTGATAAAGAAGTGAGAGTTGAGTACCTCAATAGAGACAAAAATAAAAAAAAGAAAATGTGAAAATGATATTTAACTTGTGAGAATGGAACACATGACAAATATAGCCAATAATAATGGATGATGACTACCACTATAAACGTAAGTCAAAAATATGAAAGAGATACATTGAATTAGTATGATCAGGCAGAGAAAATGAATATTGCAAAATAAATATATGAAGAAAAAGTAAATGAATCAAGAGGATAAGAAAAATGACATGTGTTTCAACACAACTGATGAGATCTTCCAAGAGAGAGGTAAGATTAAAGAACAAAAGGCAATGTATATAGTAGTATGTAGATGTGTGGAAGCAATGGATATTTATATGGAGCAGAAAATTATAGACAAGAATGGTTATACCAATAAAGGAGAATATTTGTAGCTAAGGGTTGAATTGAGGGGTCCCTGGTGGTCTTTGAACTTGCTTGTTTTCTTGTATCACCCCTACCAACACTAATAGGGAAACCCACTAGAATGTAAAGTGACAGGAAACAACACTCTTTACTAGCACTGAAGATATTACCTAGTTTGGGTAATTAAATGTCTGCAAGAAAACAAGCAAATTCCGAGAGTACCAAGTACCCTTCAGTATGGTGAATCGTATTGGCATAAATTAGTTTTACGTATGCTCCCTTTTCTTTTTCTTTTTAAATCTTATGATTTTAATTTATTTGGCTTACTGTTTCTTTATCTTTTCTACAGTGCATTATGTTGCTTACTTTAAATGTGCTGAGTATTTGTGCTGAGTATTTACACACATATGTACTGTATTGTATTTCTGTGTTTAGTCTTCTATATCTTAGGGCTACTAGACCTGAACTGCTAAAACCCACAGTCTTAGTTTTCTATATTTCTTTGCTGTCTGGATTTCTACAGCAGTGATCTGATAGTCTTATTATATCCATAAATAATCATGCAGTATTACAGTCATAGTATTTCTAGTGCTGTAATATCATGCACATATTTTGTTTAGAAAGCATACCACTATTAGCTTTGAAATATTTTGTTTGTCCTATGATGTAGGATAACAAGCAGGATCTAAAGTAATTTCATTCCCTCAATAGTTTTATTATTTTCCTTTAGATCTGGACTGTGTGCTCCGTAGCTCCTGAGAAGGAATACACATATGTGTATTCCTTCTTGTTATGTGTATAACAAGAACATGAAGAAACCTGACTTTTCTGGATCTTGACAATTTTCTTGACAAATGCACACACAAAAACACACACTCGCATATACATACCTGCTATATATATATAATCTCACACACACACACAAAGTGAGAGAGAGAGATAGATAGATAGATAGAGAGAGAGACAGAGACAGACAGGAAGACAGACAGAGAAACAGATAGATAGACCAATTATTCATTGTATGGAAAGAAAATATCTACTACCAATGTTGTTTCTTCTCAGATGATGCCTGAGAATTTCCTTCAAACTCAACTTCACAGAAGGTATCTTCTGAATTATCATTAGGCATTATTATTGCCCAATTTTAGTATATATTTAAACAATTTTATTTGATCCAGTTATCAGATTGATATATCTCTTCCCAAGCAGACACATATAACACAGAAAGTAAGTGTCCATTTGGTAAGGTTTTGTTTTGTTAAGTAAGCTAAGTGTATGTGGATGGTTTGGGAATTGAAGTAAGGATTGACTAAAAACTAACCAAGGGGTAATTGTATTTTTTACATGCATGGTTCTTTCATAGCCATATTTGCTTTAGGAATCTAGCAGAGTGACATTAGTACATTGAAAAGTGCAAAGAAGCAAGCCTAAAGCATATATTTAGCCTATGTCTACAAAACTTGCAGAACATTAAATCAGCAGAATGAAAGGCAAGCAAACAGAGAGGAAACATAAAAATGAGCTGGCTACTTCAAGGCACAGCTACAGTAATTATTTCAGTCTTTTGCTTACGGGGGTACCAACTGTTTACAATTTACTGGCAAATTGGGTATTGGCAAAGCTGGGTATTCTCATTTTCCCTCCTGGTTCAGGAGTCAAAAACATATGCTACCTTTCGTAATGAACTCGCCTAAGATTTGAAGCTATCCATATTCATGTCACCAGAAATGTTTACGCAGGAGCAAAATGCTCAGATATCCATATAAATCAGAAACATCTCAAAGTTTATATTTCCTTATGCTTCTTTGGCATTGCAAAGCAGACAAATGTAATTAATTACAAACAAAAAGAAAAAAAATGGAAATCATTGCTCTTTTAAAATAATGCAAGCCAATGCAAAGTTTCAGCACCCTTCAAAGATTTATAACCTATCAATAGATACAAAAGAATATAGAATCTATTGTATATACCTTGCATATTTTCCATCTTCTCTGCATAACTTATACATTCATTATGATAATTATAATGTTATTTGTATGTTTCCAAAATGTTTTTTCTTATAAAATGTAGCTGTATAGTAATATTTGCAATATTAAAGGAAAAACTACACTTCATTTTCTACTTATTTACATTCTGCCAGATTCTCAGCCTGTCCAGGGTCTCTTAATGTATTTCTGTTGGAAAAGCTTCTGCTTTAAGTAACCCTGTTATATACAAGGCTCGTAGTACTGTATTTGGGTACTGAACAACATTTACTGAATACTGGGTTGTTTTTGTGTTTGACACTTGATTAATAATTGCCAATGATTAGATGAGTAGGTTCTATAACAATAGAGATTCCATTATTATACTTGATAACAATAGAGTTGTTCTTGTGATGTCTGTTTCTTGATCTACTTTGAATGGTGGACAAAAAGGTTCAGAAGAAGCACACTTTCTCCATTTTGT